ACCAGCGCTCCCGCCTGAGATTTCCTCTTTCCTCTCGTTTTACGCTGGAGTGGCTCCTACGCCGCTCCCAGTTGAACAGCGCTCCCGCTCGAGGCTTCTCTTTTTTTCCTCAGGACGGCGCTGTTCCTCGCCGCCGACAACAGCCGTCCCAACAAAACTGGCGTTCCCGCTCGAGACTTCGTCTTGTTTTACGCTGGACTACCGCCCTACTCTCTTCAGCATTGGCTCCCCCCAGCAACAACAGCGGCCCTGCTCGACTTCCTCCCTTTCTATTCAGGGCCATGTTTTTGCCTCGCCGCCGACAGCCCCCATCCCCACCAAGGCAATCCTGTCGCTCAATATTTCCTTGTGCTTTACCCGTGGCTGGGGCTCCACTGGCGGTCTCGCATCGGCGCACCAAGGCGCGGGCATGCGTTTTCGAGGAGGGATGTGCTGATTTTTTTCGGAGGAGGTGTTTGCAAGACCTCATTGGGCGGGATATCTGGGAATGGGAATGACGTGCCCCGCTATAGTACAATAGTCCCCCATGATCGGGATGGCTATCGTGATGGTCGCATGCTGCGTGTGGAAACATCGCGCGTGAGGATTTCATGAATCTAGATGTTGTTGCTGTTGTTGTTGCTGCTGGTGTTGTTGTCGTCGTCGTTGCTGTTGTTGTCGTTGTTGTTGTGGTTGTTGTTGTGGTGGTGGTGGTTGTTGTTGCGTTTTCATGTCCAATGAATACTTATGGTCATGTCGCTTGTAGTCATGCTCGTAACCCTCCAACAAATATCTCCCCTTCCCCCTTGCCTGTTCCTTCCTCCCTTCTGTCCCATGTTTTAGGGTCTGCGCCAACTGCGCGCGGCAGTTAGGGATGATATACCGCCGAGGGAGGTACGATCGAAAACGAGGAGGGCGGGTATCGAGGGTTTGTGATGTACGTGTTGAATGGCACGCGAGCAGATCCGAGCGACCAGTCTTAGCATGCTTGTTGTCGTCGTCGTCGTTGTTTTTTTGTTATTTCTAGAGAGTAATTATCGTTGGTCCCCCCTGCCCGGTGCACATTGTGTTTTCCAAGTAAATTGTTCTTCCCGGTGTTCGCACCCGGTCTTTATCAAGGAAAGTCTTGTGACTCAAACTGTGTTGTTGGCCCCCGGGTTGCAAGAAGAATTGTTCCCGCTTGGTACTTCCTCACAATGTATTTCACATTCACACTCTCGCGCGGGCTTTCGTCAAGACGTGTGCAGGTATCGCGCTTTCGCGTGGGAGCTCCTTACGGTTTATTACGGCGCCATGCCCCCGAGACTCAGGAACCACAGGAGGAGGAGGAGGGGGAGGAGGAGGAGGAGGAGGAGGAGGAGGAGGAGGAAAAGGAGGAGGAGGAGGAGCTTGGGGGAGAAGGAGAAGGAGGAGGAGGAGGAGGAGGAGGAGGAGGAGGAGTAGGCGTAGGAGGAGGAGGAGTATGAGGAGGAGGAGGCGGAGGAGGAGGAGGAGGAGGAAAAGGTTTCTTGGCGATCTACTCGGGAATCGCGCTATCGCTCGACGCTTCCTTCGTGATGGCCTGACGCCTTAAGCGACCCGCCCGCTCGACCCGGCCGTCTGGGCGGCCTGCCCGCCCCACCTGACCGTTATAGGGCTCGCCCACTCGATCCGCCCGCCTGGTTCTGCCACTTGCAGTCCTGCTTGTGAACCTCCGTGCTGTTTTTGTCGTGGTTGTTGTTGTTGTTGTTGTTGTTGTTGTTGTTGTTGTTGTCGTTGTCGTTGTGGTTGTGGTTGTGGTTGTGGTTGTTGTTGTGGTTGTTGTTGCTGTTGTTGCTGCTGCAGTTGTTGAGTTCTCATGTCTAATGAATACTCATGGTCCTGTCGCTTGTAGTCCTGCTCGTAGCCCTCCTCCTGCAAATCTCTCTATCGTGCTCTGCCCTTTTCCCTCCCCCTCGCCTCGTCCCTCCTCCCTTCCTTCCCCTGTTCTGGGGGCTGCGCCAACTGCGCGCGGCAGGTAGGGAAGATATACCCCCAAGGAGGGTACGATCTAAGGCGGGTGTCGAAGGTTTGGGATATACGTGTTGAATGGCACGCGAGCAGGTAAGAGCAAACAGTCTCAACATGCTTGTTGTTGCTGAAGTATCATCTCTTCAGAACAATTATTGTTGATCACCTTTGATCCCCCCTGCCTGGTGCATATTGTGGTAGTTTCTCACAGTTATTTGTGGCGGCGTGCTCCCCTAGACTCAAGAATCACGCTACCGCTTTGGGATTCCTCCCGATTTTCTTGGGAATCGCGCTATCGCTCGAAATTTCGTTCGTGATGGATCGACGCTTCAGCGACTCGCCCGCTCGACCCGGCCGTCTTGGCAGGCCCGTCCGACCTGCCCATCAGGGCTCGCTTGCCCGACCCGCCCGTCTGGATCTGCCGCTTGTTGTCCTGCTCGTAACCCTTTTGCAAGTCTCGCTCGTGCTCTGTCCTTACCCCTCTCCCTTGCCTCTTCCCTCTTACCTTCTTTCCCCAAGACTCGTAAGTAAGGATCCCTTATTCAGGGTTCCTGAGCAGGGATTCCTTATTCAGGTTCCCATTCTTAAGGATTCTTGGTAAAAGGATCCTTAGTAGGAGCTCCTGACGAAAAGGCCCAAGCTGGCCGGCGCTGGCGGCGATGACACCGCCTCCGCGATGCAGCTCAAGGCCAAGGCGAAGCCGAAGGCCAAGGCTGCTGCTGCTGCCAGCGCCGGCGGCGCTTCCGGCGAGGCGGCGCAGCTGCGCCAGCAGCTGGACGCCGCCAAATGTAAGCACGCGCAGGACCTCCGGAAACTTAAAGGCGAACTGTCGGAGCTGCGGCAGGCCCGCGCTGCCGGCGGCGATGCGGCGGAGCCCGCAGCTGGCGGCATGGACCTCGACGACGAGAGCGAGCTGGCCAAGGCGGTCGCTTCGGCCCGCGACCGCCTCAAGAAGGCCCAAGCCATGCCGGCGGAGCTGCGCGACCTGGTGGCCGGCGGCCACGAGGCATGCATCGCGAAACTCCAGGCCGACCTCGCTACCGCGCAGGCTGCGCGGCGGGCCGTTAACCCCCTCAGCAAGCAGCTGGAGGTGGCGGAGGCCCACAAGGCGTGCATGACCAAGAAGCTTGCAGACGCCAAGTTGGCCCTGCAGGCGCGGGAGGCTGAACGCGAGGAGCTCGACAAGGAGATCCAGTCGCAGCATGCGGCTCTTGCTGAGGCCGAGGCCGCAGCCGCCAAGGGTTACTGCCGAGGTCGCCGCACTGGCGGCCCAGTACGCCTCGGAGAGGGCGCCCGACGCTGCGGCCGCGCCTGCCCCTGCCGAGCTGGCCGCCGTGCGGTTCCCGGCCGCAGCCCCGGCTGGCTACGTTTCCGTCGCGTTCGCCGATGAGAAGTGGCGTGAGCGCGAGACCCACTTCGAGCAGCAACTGGCGCACCTTCAGGCCCTGGTGGCCGCTCAGACCGCCGAGGCTGCCAGTGCAGCCTCAGAAGGTGCCCCCAGCGTGGCCGACGACCTCGCCTCCGTCGACGACCTGGCGGGCGACGACCAGAAGTGGAACGAGGTCAGCCGCACTAAGCGGAAAGCGCTCCTCCGCAGGGAGCGCGATGCCCTGGCGGGCAAGATCCGGACACGCTTGGGCAAGGTGTCCACCGTCTCGTCGCCCTTCGTCAAGAAGGGTTCAGCCGCGGATAGGCCGGTACATTCAAAATGAGTGCAGCGGATGGCTGCGGCCGAGGCGGGTTGAGGCTCGGACACGAGGTCAGGTGGGCCCGCCGGGCCTGGCGCGGGCCCAGGTGCAGCCAGGAACGCAGTTGCGGCCCCCGGCCTTGAGCGGGCCAAGACCGGGGGGATTCAGGCCCCTGTCGTCACAGGTCTCGGCCCCGCCCCAGTTTGTGTCAATGAAAATCTTGACGCAAATCCCCCCCGGCCCGCCGGGAGGGAGGCTCCGGGGGCTGCCGGGCGCGCTGCGGAGACCCCCGGGGACGTGGCTGCCACGAAGCCGCCGGTGGGGCTGTCGCCGAGGCCGCCCGGGGCGCCAGGGCCGCCGCCGGGGCCGCCCGGGGGCGTCCCTGCCTGGACGATTTCGTTCACGCAGCCGCCGTTCGGGCCGCCGCCGAAGCCGCCCGGGGCGCCAAGGCCGCTGCTGGGGCCGCCCAGGGGCCTCCTTGCGCGGACGATTTCGTCCACGCAGCCGCCGCCGGGGCCGCCGCCGGGGCCGACGATGGCCCCCCAGGGCATGGCGTCAGGGCTGTTGGCCGGGCTGGCGAGAAGCTTCTGGGCCTGGCCGAGGGCGGGTTGCCGGGCCGCGCCCCCGGCAACCGCCCTTGTCAGGACAAGGTTGTTGCGTCTCATCCTCTTCTTCGCGGCCGTCGTCCGCATTGGCGAGGCCGCTCACCCTGGACCTTGCGCCACGTGTTCCTTTGATGACCCCGAGGCGGACCTTGACCTACCCAGCGACGGCGCATCCTGGGCCGATTGCGACCCCTGGCTGGATGACGATCCTGCCGAGTCCGGGGCAGACGCCCTCCCCGAGGCCGGGGCTCTTCTTGAGACGGCTCCTGGTGGGGTGACCGCCGCGCCCCGTGCCCGCATCATCCTTGACCACGCCACGGGCTTCACCGAGGCTCGGAAGTTTGCTGGGCCAGTCAGCGGCTGGGTGTTCAAGCGTGGCTTCCGTGGGCTCGGGTACTACGTGGATGAGGCGCCTGCCGTGGGCACGGTCGTCGCCCCTGGTGCCACGGAGGAACTTGACCACCGCCTCGCGTACCTCCAGGGCGTCGCGCCTTCGAGCAGCGATCGGGGTCCAGCCGGCCGCACTCCGATTTGCCTCGCGGAGTTGATCCCTGCGGAGGTCGTTCCCTCTCCGCCCCGACGGAGGCCGCGGACCACGCCGCGGAAGCGACCGCGCCTGCCGAGGCGCACGGGGACAGCGGCCCCGCGCCCCATCCAGGCGACCCTCGGCGAGTCGAAGTTCTGCGCCGACCACCGCGAGTTCGGCTACTGAGCGATCGATACGCTGAACTGCAACGCCATGAGCACCGGGCAGTCGTACCTCGAGGACACGACGGCCGATGCTGTTCTCCTTCAGGAGCTCCGCGTTTGCGGGGGCCCCCTCCTGGCTGCTCAGCGCCGGGCTGCCCGCGCCAAGTGGTCGCTGGCCGCCGAACCCGCCGTGCCCACCGAGGCCGGTTCGCTGAGCGCTGGCGTCGGGGTTGCGGCCCGGTCGCACGTGGGACTCAGTCGTGCTGCCGGCTTGGTCTCGCGCGACGCCTGCCACCCCCGCGTCGTCGTAACGCACGCGGGCGCTTTTTGCGCCGGTGGCATCTACCTTGTGTCGGCCTATTTCTGGTGCAACGAGGGGGCCTCCCAGCGCGACCTCGAGCTGCTCCAGTGCATCGCCCAACGCGTGCGGCAGCTCCACGGCCCGTGGATCCTGGCGGCCGATTTCAACTTCCCGCCCGCGGTGCTGGAGAGCACCGGCTGGCTCCGCCTCGCTGGGGGCGCCATCGTTTCGACGGGGCTTGCTACATGTAAGGGTGCTGCAGAGGATGACCACTTCGTTGTCGACGCCCGCCTTCGTGGCGCCATCGTCGGCGTGGCCCTCGTCCACGACGCTGGCTCGCGACCCCGCTCCGCAGTTCGGATCTGGGTCAAGGGCCGGCCGAGGCGCGACGTGGTCCGCTCCCTAGCGGCGCCGGCCAAGGCCGACATCACCCAATCTCTGGGTACCGGGGCGTCTGCCCAGGTGGTTGCTCGAGCGCGCCGGGTCCAGTGGTTCTTCTTGGCGTACTCGTGGGAGTACTTGGGCGATGGCGTGCACGCCGCTGCTTTTCGCCGCTGGGTGCGCATGGCCGCCAGCCAGGGCTGGCAAGACAGAGTTCGCGTGAACTGGCTGCGGTCTACGGCGGACCTCATTTCGAGGCGCACCATGGCCTACGACATCCAGCAGTCCGACGCTGCCTGGGCGAGCTGGCTGTGTGACGGCCCTTGCAAGAGCCTGGGCAGGCACCACCGCCTGTCGCGGGTTGCCTCGAGCTGGGCCCCTAGCCCAATCTCGAATGGCGAGCCCGATGGGGATGCTCTCAGCGAGGCTGCCGACGACGACTGCCTTTCCCAGCGTGAGCTTGATGGTTGCGAGGCCTGCTGCTCGCCGCGCCCTCTCTCGTTGCAGGCCGAGGTGGACGCCGAGGCACGCAAGTGGAGCACTGAATGGGCCTGTGATTGGGGGGCCGCCTGGTGACATCCCATGGCCGAGCGATTGGGGAGATCGGGCCCCGTTGCCCCAGCTCGCGGCCACTGCGCTGCAGACGGCCGCCCGCACCTTCTCCGCAGGCACAGGCCCCGGCTGGGACAAGCTGGGCCCCCGGGCAGTCTGCCGGTGCGCGGACGGCGCAATTTGGTCATTGATCAGGCTTTTCATAATGTGTGAGCTGCTCGGGACTTGGCCTACCTGCGTTGGGGTCGTCCTCATCTGCTTGTTACCCAAGCCCGATGGGGGCCGCCGCCCGATTGGCCTGCTGCCCAGCGTCATTCGGTGGTGGATGCGCGCCAGGCTGGACGTGGTGCGGGCGTGGCAGCCCGCCCACGATCGCCTTTTCTTCTACGCTGGCCCCCGGAGGGGCGCAGAGGTGGCCGCGTGGAAGCAGGCCGCCAGGGCGGAGCTGGCGCACTGTGCTTCTTTTCTCAGCCACGCCAATGCGATGCTCGACATGGTGAAGGCCTTCTAGCGGGTCTCCCACCACTGTCTTGCGAAGCAGGGCTGGCGGTACAGCTACCCCATGGCCGTCCTGAGGCTCAGCGTCGCCGCATGCCGCCTCGCTCGGTGCATCGCTATTGATGGCGTCTGCTCGGTGCTGCTGCTGGCCGCGCGCGGGATCACAGCCGGGGCCGTGCGCGCCACCTTCGAGCTCCGGCTGCTCCTCGTCGAGTGGTTAGACGGGACGGTTGCGCTGTATCGGTGCATCGTGATCACGGTCTACGTCGACGACGCGTCCTTCGAGGCATCCGGCTCGGACCGGATGGTCTGCGACGCCGTGGGTGGTGCTGTGAGGCACTTCGCCGAGCGCCTCGTGGAGATCGGCATGGAGGTGAGTCCCACGAAGAACATGGTGCTCGCCTCGCGCCGGGAGTGCATTCCGCATCGTGGACCAGCTACCTGGGCTGAGGCTGAAGGTCGTGGACAACGCCAAGTCGCTCGGGGGCGCCATTTGCCCCGGACGCGTCCGGCACGCCGCTCTACTGGCGAAGCGGCTCCGGGCATTCAAAGTGCGGAAGCCTCAGTTCCGAAAGCTGCGCCGCTGGATCGGGGCTCGCAGGGCGGCCGCGGTGCTCCGGACAGGTGGCGCAGCGGCCCTCGTGCACGGGCAGGCCAACGCGGGCGTCTCCAACACCATGGTCCAGTCCCAGCGTGTTGCAGTCGCTGCTGCCTCCGTGCCGGGCGGCCGCGGCGAGCTGGACCTCGCCCTGATCCTCGCCGACGGCGGCGTGGGCGGCAAGGCAGACCCGGCGTTCGCTGCTCACGAGGCCCCCACTGTCAAGTGGGCCGAGGCTGTGTGGGAAGGCTGGCTGCCCAGGCCTGCCTTGAACAAACTCGTGTCCGCTGCTCTCGCAGTCCTGGTGGACCGGGCGTCGCCTTGGGCCATGGTGCGAGGCCCCGCCGCAGCTTTCGCGGCGTCGGCCCTGCGGATTGGCTGGCAGATACTTTCACATGCCAAGGTGCGCACCGACCGGGGCCAGCACATTGATTTCACCAGGGATTCGCCGGCCATGGCCCGGCGATTTGCGCCGCAGTCTGTCTGGCGCTGGCGGTGGCGACGCGTCGAGCGGCAGCATCCTCGCGTCGCCCGCGGGCCTGGAGGGCACGGGCTCTTCGTGCAGCTTATCTTCAAGCTCCTGAACGGGAGGGGTGGCGACAACTGGGGCCCCTCTGAAAAGGGCGCCTTGCGGTCAGCCTTCGCGAACCGGCAGTGGCCGCAAGCGAGGCTGCACCGAGCAGGCCTCGCCAGCACCGCCAACTGCAGGTTGTGCGCGCGCGCGGGGTTGTGCGACCCGCAGGCCGATGATCCGAGGTTCACTGGGCATCTGGCGCGCCGCGTCTTCACGTGTCCGGCCACGGAGCCCTACCGGCAGAAAACGGCCCCCGCGTGGATCCAAGAGCTGGTCCGCCAGCACACGGACGCCGAGGGCACGCTGGCGCTGAGCCCTGCTGACCTAGCCCTGCTCACACGAGGCGTCGCCCCGTCTCCTGCCGCTGCCCTGGGCCCGCTGGCCGCGCATGCCGCGAATGGGTGGTCCGGCCGGGCCCGCTGGCCGCGCAG